AGGAAAAGCCAGCCGGGGAAAATGTTTCAAAATTTATGCGTATGAAAACAGAAATTATATTATTTGCAACTGCCACCAGAGGGGAAATGCGGGGGAGTAGCATAAAATTGCAGTTGCGTCGGAAACAACGGCAACATCGTCACCAAGGGGTTAAACAACACTTGACATTTGACCCCCAACCCCTCGCTCTCTACCACTGCACACATAAAAAATTGCATAAAATTTGCATGTCGAAAGTGCGTCTCGAGTTTTTCGAGCCACCCCAAACGCTCTGCATTTGCAATGTTGGTGGCCACCCCATTTGGCCATCATCAGAGTTGTTTAGCAAGCATTTGGGGAATTTACTTTCGCTGCGTTGCAAATTTGCAATCAACATAACAATTATGCGCAAATGCAGAGGGGAGCGCCCAACTTTGCATCATCAACTTGTTTATGGCTGGCTTAAATGCACATAAACTTGTATTTATTTGCACACAACAGGGTGAGTTTCTCTTTTACCATATGTTGTGTTTTATGTGGAGCGCTGCAAATTTAAAGATCAAGCGGCTAATTAGGATGGCAGCACATGCCACTCGGCTGAGGGGGTCTGAAATGATGCGGCGGCTCTGTATGGTAGACCCATCAATGTCTGCCCCACAATCGGATAAGCGGAGCGTAGCACCGCGATTGTCAAAGCGTATTTAATGAGCAAACTCCCGGGTCCCCAGCCACTGGGACATCCATCTATCTATCGCCCCGGCACCACCGCCACCCAAGTGGTGCTGCTGTTCCTGTGAAAATCACAAAATCAGTTGGCAAGAAATCACTGCAGACAGTGGCGCAGGGGAAGGGGGATTGGAGGGGGAGGAGGAGAAGGAGGGATTGGATGGGGGACACAAACCGCGGCGACAACATCGAAACAACGACAACGACGACATCATGCTGGCACTGTTTGCCAGGGATTGTGTTTTTGGGGTGAATTTTCGACTGTGAGTGTGTGCTCAAGTGCACTCAGAAAAAATTTTATGATTATCGAAACTCTTAAAAATTAATTAGAAAGAACATATTTTGTTATTTTAATAGGAACTTATCGAAAAAGATGATACATTTCTAAAATTGGTTTTTATTTAATTTAATTTCTTGTTATATAAATTCTCAAAATTCTCAATATCTATAGAATTTTTCTTTTATATCTTTAAAACGTTAAGAACATTTAAAGTGTGGAGTAAAGAAAATTGAAAAGCAACAAACAAGAGATATATAAATGATTTTTAATTTAAATTTTTTCCCATAGTCTGGGAACTTTTTAGGAGCAATTTACATGAAAAAGTGAAGCCGTGTCTAAAATCACCCATATTTGCGAAATTACCATATATATTTATTCAGTAGCCTGTGTCGGTGGAACAATTGTTTTTCTGACTGTCTGGGCGATGGAATGACTACAAACAGACGGGGAAATGCTTGTGGCAAATACCGCGATGCGTGTCTGTCTCCGTTTTCCCCGATTGCATTTGGAGCAGGGGAAACTTGGAGCAGCGATGGCTGGGAAATTTCCTCGAGGAGGAAAACCGAAATTGTCTAGGCTGATGTCGGGGCTTTTGTTGTTGGCGAGGTAGGATAATGACATCAATATGCTTGACAAGAATCGCAGAAGCCAGAAGACAGAAGCCAGTGACCTTGAACCGTACTTTTTCGTGGAACTCCAGAGGAAGGAAAGTGAGGTATTTTGGCATAAGCAAAGCAGATACATAGCTGAAGGATCAGTGTTTCAAGACAGTTGGCAGGTGCTTCATTAGCAGTCCTCGTCGATAACAAATGAAGCTCGTTTTGCTGCTGAAGACACTTTTCCCCCAAAAAGACAAAAAGGAAAGGCTCTACCTCAATTCTCTAGAAATTTTGACCAAAAATTGCCACCAAAGTGGGGAGGGTCGACCACAGGACTTTTTCATTAGTGCAAGTGCCGCACAGCTGCATGCCACAAACACACACACACTCGTACACACACACGTGGCCAACTACCGACACGTTCCTGGCATTGCGAAACGTGCCAAAAAGTATTGCATAAGCGCAGGCGGACAACGAAATCAGAATCGGTTGTGCAAAAAAAAAGGTGGGGGAAAAACAAAAAAGGAAACGTAAATACGGGCAAGGCGAGGACAATATTTTTGCTGCTGCCCCAGTTGCTCCTTCTTCTGCTGATTCCCCTTTTTCTCATGTGAAAAAACAAATCTCAACCACACATACCCAGATAGCAGCACTGAGAGAAAAGTCTAGAAAATATCACCATTTAATAACAGCAAAGTTCAATCTTATTTAGATTAATTTGTAGTCCAAAAATATTTTAATGGAATAAATACAATAATATGGTTTATAGAAATAAAAGTTGTAACTTTTACTTAAATACATATTATACATTTTATTTTGTTCATAAGTATATATAATTTAATTAGAAAACTATTTTCAGAAACAATTTTAGACAAAAGATCACTTACTTGTGCAATAATCCTACCCCTTTGAACATGCAACCCAGTATCTTCTCATAAACTATTTATCGATTTGTGTATTCCAACTCAAACTTAATCCTTATAGTTCCATGTCCCATCATGGCACTCTAAATCACTTCTCCGAGTGCAGTCGTTGGCAGTGCGTTTAGCAATCAGCTCACGACTTGGCAGCCAGTCCGAGTTGCAGAGACTTTGCCTCAGAACTGTCGTTGCGCATACGCCACGTTGCACTGCTGCCATCCGACGGGGCGTGTGTTAATAATGCGTGACATAAACTGGAGCTCCCGACAAGTCCCGTCGATGGGCACAAACGAATTGAGTTGACTCGACTTGAGTGGGGCATTTTAAGTGACAGTTTGCAGTTTGCGAGGAGCGAAGTGAAGAGTGAGCAACTGAACAACCGAGCACTGCAGACTTTGTCTGTGACTCTGTCGAGCAAATGACTTTGTCATTGTTTTATTGACATGTCGCACACTCCCAGCAATTTCTGAAGAGCTGCGGAGTGAGTAGAAGGCTCCATCTTAACACTTAAATTTTTACTCAAAATATGCAAATAAGTGCTGCCAAAGTGCCAGAGTGCCAGAGGCAAGTGCTCCTTTTACCCGAACTTCCCATCCTAATGTGAGCGTGTGTGCGAATGTGTGAGAATTTCAATTTCCTGCTCACACCCAATGCCAATCAAAAGAAAACCCCACCCCACCAATCGAAGGACGGGTGAATAAATTTACAGCGAGCGAGGAAATTAAACCAAATTGAAATTGTTTCGCTTGCGCACTCGCAAAGTTTTCCTTAAAGGCTCCGCTTGTTTTGGGTTCGACTTAAGCCCGGGAAAAGTTTTAATTTCCAATTGACATTTTGCAAGTGCATCCCTAATCCGGGGAGCCGGCAAAGGAGTGCTAAAAATAATTACAAACTGCAATTATTAGCCCGGCTAAGGAGACGCTGCCAAGGCAAATCCAATTAAGTGAAAAGCAAGTGTAAGCCGATGCCGATGCTGACCGGCTCACCTGATTCTTCGTTTCCCCCATTTTTGTTTTTTTTTTTGCTCCCCAGCTGCAGTTAACTGGGTAACTCTAGCTGCTGACCTTAGCCTGTTTTTTCCCCTGTGCTTTTCCAACCCTCTGTAGGATTTTCTTCCCCTCAAGTGTGTCTTGGGCTCTCTACTTTCCCCCGCCTCGAAAGAATGAAATGAAATTGCCCAGCTACTGGCACAACAATGACTATAATAATAAATAATAATGGTTAAATGTGTTTACAAAAAGAGAGAAATCTTTTGCTGTTATCTGGACCAGAGCCTCCGCCTTGCTCTTCGCTCTTGGACTTGGCTTACTTTTGTCTGCTGTGAACTGTCATTGCGTGTTGCACAGAAAAACACCAGGAGATTTAGAGGGAAAGAAAGGGGTAAGAAGAAAACGGAGAAAGCGGAGAAAGGGGCAAAGAAAGCGGCCACTGTGACAGGGAATGAGATATTATGTGGCAAGAGTTGCTTCACCAGTTGGCAGTCCTACTTAATTTTTGATGTGGAAATGCCACTTGCCTCTTGCTTTGAGCTCTTTATGAACACATAATTTTGAGAGACTGCTTATGGCATGTAATTAAAAAGAAGTAAATTATGAGGATAAAGTTTGTATTTTAAAATTAGTACATAATAAATTACAAAATGTGCAGTACAAAAGGATTGGTCTGTTTATGCAATTTTAATTATCCTCTTTAGAACCAAAGATTTCTCATCCAAGAAGGACCATATACTTTTTATAGTTATGGGTCAAGAATAGAAAGGAAAATCTTCTTAATAACTTTTCTTGATCAATATTATCGCCAAAGTTTAAGGACACTTGAAAACGTTTTGAAGCCACCCTCGTAATCTTCTGTCCCATAATGAAAGTGAAAAACTGTTGCAGCAACAGCAAACAATTTCGCAGCCGAGGAGAAAACTATTTCAATTGAGGTAGAAAATGAACGACAAGGACATGGCGGCATTTCCCACTGGTTTTTTCTCGTATTTTCATTTTCCTTTTGCCTTCTATGTTTTTCTTGGTCTTGTCATGAATGGATGCCCACTCCTCTCCTCTGCTTTTTTGTGTGTTTGCAGTTTAAATTGCACTATGAAAAGAATTTTTTGGATTTAAGCATTCGTTTTCATTTGGCTTCTCTTTCTTAGTTCTGTTTTTTTATGTTTGGGATGCCAAGTGGGATAATATGTCAAGTGGCATAAGTCGACGGATGCAGGGAGATGGAGGAGGGGTAGCCTTTGCACCTGGCATTGATAGGATCGAAGCAGGTGTCAACCCATTTGCCAGCAGCCAGCAGCCAGTAGCTCTCAACTTGGCCATTTACGGACGGCTAGCTGTGTTTGTGTTGGCCCGGCTTAGACCCAGTTTCAGTTTGAATCAAGTTGCAGTCGCAAAAACAGCTGTGGCAAGTGGCCCGATTGAGAAACAGTTGTCCTCCATTTCGCCTCGACTTCTGGTAAGTATAAAAGGGGGGCACTCAGCTGCCAAAGAGAGCAGTCAAAGACTGAGTTAGCAGAATGTCGACGGTATTGGTAGTGGCCCTCATCCTCAGTGGAGTCCTGCAGTTTGTGTACAGTGAGGATAACACAACTGCTACACCCACGGACTACTGCCAGAAGGACTTGTGTCACTTTTTGAAAAAACACATAGGCTGCAGGAACAAAGGAGTAAGTTTGCCTCCCTTTTCCGGACCGATAGTCAAGGATTTCATTGATTCCTTTAGGAGCTCAACAAACAATGTCCTGCTGACGCCTACTTGGTTAATCTAACGGGTCTGCACGATCTGATCCTGGATGAGCACAATGCCCTGCGAAATGTCCTTGCTGCTGGCAAGGCACCGAAATTGCCACAACCCGATCGCATGGCCACACTGCGCTGGCATGCCGAACTGGAGGATCTGGCCACACTGAACGTAAAGCAGTGTGCTCTGCAGTACGATCCTTGTCACAATACCCCGGAATTCCGTAACTCTGGTCAGAATTTGGCCATAATCAACATAACTCTGCTTCAGGGTGAGGGTAACCACACGGATGAGTGTCTGATCAGGGAGTCTATTGGAGGCTGGTGGAATCAGAGTATCAATATCACGAGGGAGCAGCTTCAGCGTTTTCCCAAAGGAAAATTGGGAGAGTGGGTTTGCCTTCCATTAAATTTGTTTCCTGATTTAAAGTTACCTTTTTTCCCACCAGTTCAATCCGCAATTTCGCCATAATGGCCCGCGACAACAACACCTTCGTGGGCTGCGCCGCCTTGAGATTCGATAAGCCTGCGGGCCATCCTCAGTTTCTGTTGGCATGCAATTACGCCAGCAATTATGTCCCGGACTGGCCTATTTACCGGGAAAAGTCCATCGGTTGCCAGTCGGGCTCTGACCTCAAATATCCCTCCCTCTGCAAGGCGGGCGAGCAATATCAGGAACTTCCGTTGGAGGAGAGCGCGACGGTGAGGAGCGGTTTTTGGAGGCTGTAGAGGCGCTAAAAATAAACCCGGCCAAAGGGTTGGAGTGGGTGGCTCTTCACTCACAGTCTATTTAACATGTTGATTTGTGTCACAGTGCGTGGCGGTCATATATCATCTCGCAGCAACCGCATTAGCACAGACACCTGAAAAAGTAGTGATGCCGATATTGAATGAATAAAACATAAACATTTACGTCGAAAAAAAAACAAACGAAATAATTAAAAATAAATAGATATCTTAAAATTAAAACAAATGCTTTTCTTAGGTTCTTTTAATCTACTATAATTTTTAGAAAACAAGTTCATTGAATCCTCATTTTAATATTTTACTTATATAATTTCCATGGAAATAAACTAATTGCAGGCAGAGATGGGCTGTAAAAATTGATTTCGACAATCTATTACACTCTTTAATCGAACCAAAACTTAGAACTAAATCTAGTTAGTTTCTTTCTATAAAATATTGGAAACGTATAGCAAACCGTGATATAAATAAATCAATATAAATTATATACATTTTAATATAATTCAGTTTCAAATATAGAAATTTCAGTATAGTCATCCCAAAAACTAGCTATAAAAGCACTGAAACTACAACTCTAACACTCACATACATTTAGCGCCCCTCCGCCCCGCCCACATCATCATTATCTTCATCAGCAGCTAAAATATGATACGCGTTGTTTGGGTCGGAAAAAACGCGAACGAGACGCGACAAGTTGGCATCTAATTTTAACGTCAATATACAAAATGTAAAAACGTGTCTTCATCAGCTCGTAATATAGAGACCAACCTCCTCCCCCGTCTGTGACCCACAAGTCCCTAAGTGCCTATTAATAATGCTGCCTCGACTGCTGAAAAGAAAATGTTTTCCTTGGCTCTGCTTTATTTTTAGTGTCCATCTCGGATGAGGCCTACGTTTAATATGCCGTTACTTTGTCAAATCCGAGGCTCATTAAAGTCAGACGAGAGAAATAGGCAACATTTTTGTTCATTTTTTCCGACGTGATAATTAATTTCGTACTAATGCTGGCCACATTCATTATGGCTTAATTAAAATTCAACTGGAATTAGTTTCCAGCACCTCGAAAAGCGACCATTATAAACTTATCAAGCCGAAAATGTTTGTATCTGTTTATATCTCTATTTTTTGCGCTAATTACGTTTTTGTACAATTTTTGTTGTTAATTTTCCCGGAATATGAAAATCACTGGAGTGACGTTTCTGTTGTTGTTTTTGGCCCTCATTAAATGCGTGTAAAACCAACATGGACAACAGCATATTTCACGCGGCTCATAAAAGCATAAATACACGCATAAATAAAATAATGTACAAAGTTACGTCAGTGGTTATAGTTATATAAATTATTCCCCTACAAGGACAACGATGTAGGGTTTCGTTTGCTTTTGATGGATGTGGGGGGAAAATTACACTTTTATAGGGTGACATATGTTTTATGGCTTTTATATTGCAGCCTATGAAAAAGCTTTTAATTTGGACGTTATTTAAAGTGATAAAAATGTTTGCTAAAATAATACCAATTTGTATTCCTACGTATAATTATATATATTCTCAAAAATAATATTTCACAAATACTACACAGACTTAAATCAAAACAAATATGAAACTATTAAATTCCTTCCTCAAAAAATTGATTTAATGTTGTCGTAAAAGTTTATAAGGTCTTAAAGCTTTCCGCATGATATTATGATATTAGGGCACATATAATATTTATTTTTAATGATTTTGAAATCAAAAACACGCATGCTTGGTGGAATTAACGGATTTCTATAGACTGTTTGTCCCTGAACGCTTCACAAATTTGATTGTTGAAAATGATTTGATGGCCGACATAGAATGAAAGCGCCAATTTATGGCCTAAAGGATGAGCATGCGTTGCATAAATTGTGGCTGAATTTAAACAAGTTAATATGATATTAGTTGAGAGTGAGCATAAATTATGAGAGCGTGTCCTATTGGGGAAGAGGGCGAACAATATAAACAATGCCAGCCTGATTTAGTGCTGGCCATTTGACTGTTTAATGAGCACTCAGATGTGTCAACAGACTAAATGGAAATTTATTTAATTATGATTCATAAGTCAGAAAGCGGCTTACGGCCGTTGAAACATGCAAAATCTCATTCTTTCCCATTTCGAGTGTTTGATGTTGTTTGTTCGCGTTGGCATGCAAAAGGTCTTTTTGGTCTAGAGCTCGGACTTTGGACTTTGGACTTTGGACAGGGCCAACATCTAAAAAGGCAATCAAAAGTTTGGCCAAAAGGAAACGACAGCGAGAGCACAAAATATATAAAAACACAAATTGACAAAGCAAAACTTTTGATTTATGCAATTTGCGCTAAAAATACAAATCCATTTGATGACACTGCGTCGTGGGGGAAAATAAAATTTGGCCAACAATTCCAATAAAATGGCAAAGCAGGCTTTGATTTATTTGTCCTTGGCGGGGGAATTGGGGAATTCCCCGAACGCAGCCGCAAATGTTTAGCTGGGGATTTACCCCTCTCTCACAAACTCTCTTTTGGGCCCCGAAATGTCATACATGAAGCATAATAAATGGGCTAGTAAAACTTCGGACAGGAATGGGACTGAGTTTGGCCTTCTCCTTGTGGCTTGTGTCAAGTCAAATGCAAATGACCGACAAATTTGCCCGGCTATATAGCGATATGCAAACGGAACGGATATATGCTTTGTTTAAATGTGTATATGTGACCGCAGGCCATGTTGGCCACAAATTTCCACACAATTTATGCGGACAATGTGGAGCGGAAGAGGCGACACGGAGGATCCCATTGCCGGATCATTTATTTTATAGTCCGTCGCTTTAAGTTATTTTTCTTCATTATTTTTTATGTGGCTCCAAGGGCGACGAGGCCGGGCGAAAACAATTGCCAAAGGCATTTGGCAATCAGCGCCAAATGTTTGCTCTGTTTGCGCAAATAATTTATACGACGGGGCCCTGAAAGCCCAGCAAATAACGCGAATGCGACACACATACGCCCCGTTGGCCGGCGGCTCAAGTTCATAGACAGGATCTTAACGGCTCAGTTCATTAGCGGTCCGGTCCGGTTCGGCTTAGTTCTGTTCTGTCCTGTCCCTTTTGCCCAGGAACTCGGTTTATTAATCCTCCAAGGAGCCAAAACAAAGGGCCAGTTGTCATTAGGACTCGTCCTGCGATTTCCGACCCGCTCCGGCATAAACAGCAAATTAAGTTTTAGTGTTTCATTTATTTTTGGCACTCACTTCATATGCGTGTGGGTTTTAGTGCGGGATTCCAGACCTATTTGCTTTTATGGCCCCAACTATGGGCCCTGTGGTCTGTGTAATTTCTGGCCTCGTCCTATTGCCTTTTGATTGTTTGTAATGAGCTGCCGGCCATCAAGGATATGAATAAAACAAAGATCGACACAACCCGATAAAGGTTGCGCATATGTCAAGTAGTCGAAATGTCGTTGGTTGACTTCTGTTAATGCGATTCACATGATCCACTCATCACGAAGGGCTTATAATGATGGGATTACACATCGAGTTCCATAACGTATAGAATGCTTTGTAGTTTTATTTAGTTTTAACAACTCAATTGCATTAGCGGAATGCTTTTATCGCGCTTAAATTATAAAAAATCATGACTTTTAAAGCGGGCATTTATCTCGATTAATTCCTGATTTAATTGATTCGTTTGAAATGCGATTCCAGGTGATTTAATTTATTCGCCAATCTACCGGCTGTTTGTTCAGCTCATTTGAGCATGCAATTTGCCTCGATTTTAGCGCCAGGTGGATCAATAGTATTTTCTATATTTTAGCCAATATTTTTTGCTTCTAAACCAATGATCAAACATATATGCGCTCTTAATTTTGTTGCGCTTGCAGTGGCCAATTGTGTGGTAAACATAATTCAATTAACGCCTCTCCATTGGATTCCACAGCACACACACTCACTCACAAAAAAATATAGACATGGTCAAAAAAAAAGAGAGCAATAGATGGTCCGTGCAGAATGGCAAAGTGGCGCTTTACAATTTGTGCAATTTCCGCCTCTGAACAACATCAAACAGAAAATCTCCACTCCAATCCCGAAAAAAATAAAAACTTTGCTCTCGTTTGATGTGTGAATTGCGCAAATATTTTCGTTAAAAAAATATTCGCCCCTCCGCCTCCGTTGAACATTTATCTTGCTGCGGTATATGTATGTTTTTGGAGATTTTTTTCCGCAGAAACTTGTTAAATGGAAAACAAACAAAGAATGTTTTTATATAAGGCGATTAGCGGCCTCGTCTTCGGTCGCCATCGAAATTTATTAGCCGCTTATGCCCTCCGATTGAAGTTTCATTTAAAGCGTAACAACATTCGCGGGAATAATATTAATTGACAGTTGATGTTGCGTGTCAGGCAAGTTATTCATTTTGCGCTTAATAGATGTCCTCCCGGATCCCCAGCTTTCATGCTCCGCCAACAGCAGAATCTAATTAGCATTGCAGACCACTCCAGCCGGATGACACGGCTGAATAACAATAATTGCTTAAATAAACACCACGGCAAATGCACATTAATAAACATCAGCGTGGCTGAAATGTGAATTATGGCAAGCCCATCCCGAGTCAGGCCAACATGCAATAAAGTGCACGCAGCTCAAAGAGTTTGCTTTGTGGCTTTCAAGACGGGGAAGCGGTCTGGGTGCACTGCCATTTGCCATTTGCATGTCGGTCTGGTCATTCACATCGCCATCAACTGGTAGGTGCATACAGTCAAGGCCAGAAGAGTAGAAACGCATTTATATTATCTTTAGGAAGTGGTACTCCTCAATCCGTTTTGAATAGATTTTATTCTCGATTACATGAATTGATTTTAATGTATTTAATAAATAAAATTAAAAGCACAACAGCATAAATATTTAATCAACAAAATATTGTAAGCTAATAATATTTGCCAAGAAATAATTGCTAACGAAAATTTATTTTTAATTGAAAATAAATACAGAGAAGAACCCCTAAGATAATAACTCAAACGGAAAATTAAAACCAACAAACTCACCGCAGCCTGTTATTAATAATAGATGACCTGGTATAATTATATAAATACTCCATAACCCTTTATTCATGCTCCATACTGTAAACAACATTCGATAAATAGACAGTGCGTGACTTTTTCTTTTGGCGTTCCTGGTCTTCTTCGGTGGATTTTATCATGGCAATTATGCATTTTAAATCAGACGACCATAATGCTTCCGGGAAAAGCTTTTCCTATTGATTTTTTAGTAACCAATTGACATACATCCGATAGTGAAGGGAAGTGAACCCTTTTGAACTTTATTTATTCCGATAAGTCAAATCAAACAGTGCGAACAGCAAATCCAATTGTAAAGAATCATTTCGATTCAGTTTCGGTTTCTGGCTACATTTGCATACAAATGCAGGCGGGATTAAAATCAAAATTCGATATGCCACAAGCCACACACACACATACACACGTATACACATCCACTCCCAGAATTTTCCAACCAATATTTTACTGCTCAAGACATTCCGACATTGTTGTCCGGAAAAAGGAACCCTTCATCCCGCAGTAGGGGAAGAGAACTTACCCAAGTTCTTCAATTACAATTTGATTTGCAAATGACACAGAGAGAAACATGCCAAGAAATTGAAGTGAAAACTTTACGAAGTCAAGGGGGAAAATTGCGGAGAATGTGACAAGTCGGGTTGGGAAAGTTCAACACGAGCCGGTGAAAGTGGAATTAAATGTTTGTTGAGGGTTTCAACTGATTAAAAATGACGAAGGGCACTCCTAAAAAGTTCATGAACATAAAGTACGGATACATAAACCTAGACAGAAAACTCTCTCTCTTTGGTGTTAACCCTCCTAAAAATGACTGTTCGGGCAATTGAGTCCTTTAAGCCCGGAACTTTTTCCCTGGCGCTGCGGCAATAAAATGTTGCAACATTAAAAGGGCGGTGCACATAAATAAAAAAATCGCTGAGTAAAAAATTGGGTTAAAAATTAACTACACCAAATTTAAATCAACTGCAGAGGGGGGCGAAGTTTCGGGGCCCGTTGCCTGTCAGCGAATCCTTCGAGTCCTTGGGCGGCCGTAAAAAATCGACTCGCTGGGCAGCTGGCTGAATACGGCCGGAGTCCTGGCGGCCGTAAATAAAGCGCCGCAAACATTAATAACTCCCATTGGGTGTGTTAACAAGCAATGACCAAATAGGGGCTGCGCCCGCCAGTACTGGGATTTCGGATTCGTTTTCCTCTGCTTTTCCTGCCGCTTTTCCCGCCCTGCCAATGTGCATAAATTGCAGTAAAAATGGCGCAAAAATTTTACATTTTGTGGCGGCTCTCAAAAAAAAAGAAACGATGTGCAACAAAAACCCCGTCGGTGGAGTGGAGTGTAGCGAAAATAAGTAACAAGTAACCGAGAAGCTTGCGGGCAGGTAAAAATTGCGCATACGCCAGGTGCGCCGCCGCCGCCCCACATAAAATGGTTGAGTGATGGAACGTCCAGAGGGAAGGGTAATGCATGTAAGACAATCATTTTGACGGGCACTCTCCGCCCGGAATATTACACCTTCCCTCTTTTCGACGGAACATTCCTACGGCTGTGTGTTACTCATTGGCCCGTCGCTCGGTTGGCTGCCTCCTGATTACTATGCACTTTGATACTTATCTTTAATTGAGGCAACATTCTACACGGGGCAGCTCAACAAAAGTCTCGTCTGCCACGCCACGATGAGCACACATTTCATACTGGCATTTCGGCTCCTTCGCTCTGTCAGGATCTGTCCTCGGTTGGGATTTGAGTTGGGAAGTAAGGAGAGTTGGGTCCGCAGAAGTGCTGTCTTTTCATCCTTTTTGCAGACAGATCTGTACTGTTTTGAAAGGTCTTTTAGAGAAAATGTATAGGTCAAAAGACTGAAAAAAGAAATGGAGTTGCAATTTATAGGAATTTATGCGTTTGATTTTAGACCCAATGATTTTATCATTATAATTCAAAACAATAATATTTTTCTTTTAAATTGGGTTGGGAATCTATATTTGGAGAGGAGCCAATGCTTACATTATTTGAAATTAAGTTTATAGAAAACAAATATGTAAATATAGATTAGTCGTATTTAAATTCCCTATCGATTGAATTTTAAACGTAGAAAACTCATTTTCAGAGCACCCAATTAATTTACTCAAGGCTTATAGCCCAATTATTATGATCGATCGCTTCAATTTAAGGCCTTCCCTGTTACATATTCTCCATTAAAATTATTTAAAATTAAAAAAACTCATTAGAGAGCAGACACGAAGTGACAGATCGCTTAAATGGGTTAATACCCTTAACCGAATCCTCGTCCAGCGACCGCAATCGCTCAAATACATATTTGTTGTAATTTACCGCCCGTTGACCCCGGGCAAATTTATCCTGGAGCCGCAGGAGTAGTTCAACTTTGTTTCAATTAATCGTTAACCCTTCCGGCAGTTCGACGTTTGCTGCTGCGGTTGCCCGCAGCTTGCTTTAAAAATATTTAAGGCCATTAAGCAGACAGCACACGCATGCATTCGTAATCCTGGGCAGCACTAAGCGTTTTATGGTCCTCCACGCTCCTTGCTGTTGGCCATTGTTGCCGCCGTAGTTTTGTGGGCAAGGAAGTTGGGTAGCAACTCCCTTTCGAAACTGCCCCCCCTTTAAACGCAACCGTAATCGTCATCGTTATCGGGGGTTCCCGGGTCCAATTGTTTTGCCATCAGGTGAGCCGTAATGTCTGCGGCGGATGCCAGGGCTAATTTTGCGTTAAATGAGCGCTGAGCAGCCGCTCGAATGATTCATTATGGGGCCCAAAGGACTCGTTGCATGCGCATATATGCAAATGAATTCGAACGGAGTGAGGATGAGGGGGGAAGGGGGAGCTGAAAAGGACCTTCCGCTTCCTTGGGGGCAGTGCACCCGCACGGCGAATCAATCATAGATTGTCAACGGCCACGATTCGCTTTAGTATACGTGGCGTATACGTAATGTTCGCCATTCCCCCTGGGGATCCACTAATTGATTTATTGCCCGAAATTAATTCTATCCCAGCACATTAATATTTATTGCACAAGCTGCGATTCGGATTACGATTCAGCAGGTTCTGATTCTGATTCCGATTCAGTACAGCCATCACCTTGACCTTTCTTTCAGATATTTTTGTCATGAATCCGCTTTTTGAATAATTTCCATTTTCGGATTTGCCCGCAGCGTTTTTGTTCGCCCTCAAATTGCTGCCATGAATAAATGAGTTGCTCAAGCGGGCCGAGTACAAAAGCCCGGCTAACGAGTCCGTACAAACAATCTGTGGACCTGCGATGAGAAATGGGGAGGATGTAATATGCAGTATCCAGTATCCAGTACTCTGGGCAGTTCTCTTTTGGTCCGTGCAGCCACCCACCTGCTATTTGCTGTTTTATAAAAGCAATACGCATATGTGCCGGGCATGCCATTGCAGCACTGCTATTTGCATTCACTCTTCGGCAGTGTTTGCCCTCCGCAGGGGTTCCCTCACCACCACTGCAAAACCTGGTGGAAAACCCCGTCGAGAACCCTGAAAAGCGATTCTACGGCTTCTGGCTGGCAGCTCTTTAAGCTCTGCGGTTCGAGGCTCCCCTTAGAAAACTGGAGTTCTGGCTAAGCGGCACTCGAAATGGAGATGCCTGGCAAACAAACCTATTTTCGACCAGTTAACACAGAAAGTTTAAAGGGACTAAATTATAATAGACTTAAAATTGTAATATATTCCTAATCTAGCTCAAACATAACTTTGTAATGTAATGGTATTCCATTAAGCATATACAGTTTCATATCGCTTTGTGACTTATTAAAATTTATTTCATAATTTTAAGCTTCAATAAAACTTAAAGAGCTTTATATATATTGCAAGCCAATTTTCCCCAAGTGAACTTCTCGAAATGAGCATTGACTGATGCCATTACAGGTGGCCATTGAATGCATTTTCCGACCAAAAGGCATTTCCTTCACCGCCAGCTCCGAATTTTCCTTTTTGGTTTTCGGTTTGTGGCAGAATTCCATTCCGGTTGCTCGAATGCTGCAAATACCTGATTCGATTGCCAGAGAAATGGAATTTTTACATATCAATCGCACTTGTAAATATGATTCAAGCAATCGGGCAATTCTTCCATAATTCCCTGTGATGTTTGATTGGTGTTTCGGTTGTGTTGTTGTTAACCCACTTTGAAAATTCCCCACCCACTTTCCCACTCTTAATTTCGTAAATGGCAAAGTTTATGAGCAGCGCCATTTGGGGATCCGTTTATGTTGTTGTTTGTTTGCTTTGTTTGCCAGCTAGATTCCTTTTAGGCGGAAATGAAATTTTTGCAGTTTTACAGTTTTACAATTCGCCATAAAAGGGTTCTATGTGTTCTTTCTGTTTATAATTTTTTTAGGGGGCCGGGACGGTTTGAGTGGGCTATAAAAGCTTTTCTGCTTTTGCTGTTTTACAAATACCGACGACGAAGTCATAGAAAGTCGTCGTCGCGTCGAGTAATTAGAAAATTAACCCCTGCCAGCAGGCCATAAATGAAAACGAAACAACAACTGTGTTTTCGCAATGCGAGCAACTAACTAAACAACAACAAAACCAAAAAAAACAACAACAACTAGCACTCCACATGGTCGCCACTTGGAAAATCAGCCAGGCGAAGGCCACTTAGTGACTCTTTTATTTTCCAGGAGGGGAAAAGCGTGAAATGAAACCAAACCGGACCAGTAAAAAAAGTCGAGAGTTGTGTCATCGCTTTAATTAGAGAACGCAAAGCACGTTAAGGTGCAGTTCGCCGAAAATGTTATTTTATTTCTCACGGATTTCCTTTTCCGTTTTTTTTTTTGGCAAGTGAAAATTGGGGTGCGTCAGGTGCCTGTTTCATTATGGCAGGCCATTTTCGCACTTGAAGTTATATCTGCGGCATATATCTCTCTAATATCCCGCTTCCTTTTTGTTCCGTTTTTCAGGGCTGGCCGTTTGCTACCAGCGGCAATCGGTGAGCAACAACAACCACAACAACGCCGAGGCGAAGCCCACCCACACGCCCCCCTCGCATTATCCTCACGGCCACAAGTGGAACGAGCCGTACTTTGATCTCACGATGCCGAGGAACATCACATCGCTCGTGGGCAAATCCGCATATCTCGGCTGTCGTGTCAAGCATCTGGGCAATAAGACGGTGAGTCCCGGGGTTACGCACTAAATCTGCACTTGGGAAAAATATATAAAATATTCGGAAAGGATTTAAGTGTTTTATTTGCCTATTAATCTCAAATTAGGAATGGAGATAATAGAAGCGATAGCGTAGTAATACAAGATAAATTAACAGTTCCCTAGAAATACGTAGTTTATTATATTTTTATCCGATTATAAAAGAGTCATAAAAATATATTTTGAAATTTGTTAAAATCCAAAAGATATGTTACTAAATTTCAGAAACCTTAAATGGCCTAAAAATTTGTATAAATTTATTGGATATCGGACAGATAGAACAAAACTAGAGTTCACAAAACGTTTTTCTTTGATTGTAAATATATTTATATTTATCCCCCAGAATTAATACTTAGCTTCTGTAGATTTCTAATAGATATGGGAACCTTCTTTTATATTCCACACTTCATTCTAGTGAAAGTTTTCCCTCAGTGCAGGCAAAGTCAACAGGGAGACAACTGCCGGAAACATTTCGTATTAATAATCTTGATTTTTATTTACATTTAATAAACAAAGAGCTCCGAAATGGGGCGGCCGCAAGTGTGGCGAATGTGTCACCAAATATCCACTTAGATGGCCGACACAGACACAGTCGGAGCGGGGTTATTAAATTTGCTGCCAGTTTATTATGTAATACGTGACAGCAGCCGACACCCCAACACATGCTGACCACTTGTATCTATATTTTCCCATTTTTTTCCGCCGGGTTTCTAGGCAGGCGTCACTTGATCCACTCGACCCAATTAAAGTCTCCGCTAACCAGTTGTTGGCCCTTAAGTTTTTTTTGGGAACCCGAAACAGAGAAGTACTGCATTTCAGCGATCAAAATTAAATTGGTTGCCATAACAAAGGGGGCGTTTGGTGGCGGCAATACGCTTTTTTGCCGCAGACACAATGCGGAAATATTTTGCACGCATTTGCCAAAATTCATCGCTTGCCATTCGACTGGGAAAGTTTGCAGGTGTTGGCAGGCCCGAAAACGTTGATTACGTTAAGCGTTTTGGCCACGGTCACGGTGCTCGTGGATTTCCCCTTGGCCAAATCCGCTTCCGCAATCAGTAAACTACACACACATCCTCCAGTTAACTGGCCCTGCCCTCGGTTTTTGGCCAACAGTAAATTTATGGCCATCCCAGGCTAAAGTTTACTTTCCTACTTTTTTTCGGGTTGCCTCTCTGATTCTTTTTTTTTTTTTTTTTTGGCTTTTTTCTTGCTGTTATTGCAGAATTAGACAGACGGGCAGGCGGGAAAATGGAACTGCACAGATGGATGCCATACAGTTGGCTGACTCTGTCTGTCTCTCCGTCTGTCAGTGTGTGTGTGTATGTGTGTGTGTGTGTGTGTTATTGGTTAGACAGTTAGCCGCATAAACAAGGAGCCTCCACTACCAAACGAGCCAACAAAAAAGGCGGACCCAAATGGCAGACAAAAAATTTGTATCAAATGTAGTGGGCAATGTCGAGTGAATGTCGCAGGATGGGGAGTATCATTTTCCGGGTCTGTCATGCGTTTCGCACACTAATTTCAAGTTGTATGAAAATTCAGTCTGTGAGCTGCATAAATTTGCGGTTTCACTCGTGGGAAATGGCCCCAAACGAACCACTTCAATCTGTGGCCTCTTTAAAGTTGGAACCGGCTATTAATGCTGATTTTTTCCTTTCATCCTGCAGGTTGCCTGGATCCGACATCGGGACCTGCACATCCTGACCGTGGGCACCTACACCTATACGACGGATCAGCGGTTCCAGACATCCTATCATCGGGACATTGACGAGTGGACCTTGCAGATCAAGTGGGCCCAGCAGAGGGATGCCGGGGTGTACGAGTGCCAAATCTCCACTCAGCCAGTGCGAAGTTATTCGGTCAACCTGAACATTGTGGGTAAGTAGATACACTTATACAAAAAAGATACACCCTATATAGAACAAGAGTAAACTCGACCAACACAAAATGAAATCCCCTTATCTGTAAAAAGATGATAAATGGCAACATACATTGTAGTTACACATATACGTTTAAACTTAAAGTTTATTAGGAAAAGAAACAATTTATTTGAAATTTAGAGATTTATTAAGCAAAGGCAAAAATAGGAAAAAATTTACTGAATTTAAGAAAATATTTTATAGGGTAAATACACTTTCATTTGTTTCTTCGCAAACGCAGTAAAAACAGGCGAAAGCGAAAGAATTCGAGGAATCGTGTGGGGAATTCGGCATATTTTTCTGAATCTTTTTGCATATTCATGCAATTTTCAAGGGTGTAAATTATGCACACCTCACAATCGTCGCAGCAGGCAACAAAAGCGGGGCGCGATTTTACCTGTAAATATGACAGCGGAAATTTTTCCGAATTTCTTTCCGGCAGATTGATGGAGTGACGTAAGAGATATAAAGCACACATGAACCGAAATCGACAGCAAACCTTATTTATACAGGTATTAAGGTGTAGATAACAGGAAAAGCCGCCTGGGCCACAAAAAAACGTATAGCAGCCATACATTTATGGGAAAAAACATTCATTCTCTTTAATCCTGAGGCCACACAGTGTATTTATATAATGGTGGAATTATTTTTATGGTTTTTCTAAATCGAACAGACAGATAATCCTGGAGGGGGAAAACGGCAGAATAACAAATTTGAAATCGTGATTGGAAAAGCAATTTGGTGGACAAAACTTTAAGTTTTTTCCTTAAAATAATAGCCAACAAATTGCGTATAAATAATTCAGCAGGTGAGCTCCAGACCTCTAATTATAATGGACGGTGTATTTCTATTTTTGGTTTCGTACTCGCCGGAGTACTTTAGTTGATTAGTTTAGTGGACGGTCAGTTATATTTATTTGAACGATTTTCTATTTCTATTTTTATTTCATATATTATATGATTTGTTTTCTTTTACCTCTGTTTGTATTTTTGGTTACCACTCGACGATGATTTGATGGTCAGATTTGATTGACGCCGAGACCAGCGACATGATGCAGCAGTACTATAACGACGACGCCTTCTATATATCCGAGAATCGGGTGTATCAGTCCAGCAATGACGAGTTCGCCGGGATGTTCGGACCGATTCAGACAGTCGCCGGTAAAGTGTGGAGATCCGGCTTTCTACTTTTTCTAGTCCGCCTTTTTGGCCGAGTGACAAGTCTAACCGCACCAAAAAAAAAGGGGGAAAATGGGAAAAAATAAGGTGGCAGACGGAGATGAGAGGTCTTCTCGAGGGCTGCCATGCATGCATATTATTTTTTAATATCCTACAACATTTTCCGTGCCAGCTGCGGTGTTTGCGGAGTCAAGTGGTGGGTGCCTCGGGGCAAGCACTTTTCTGGCTCATGACGAACAAATTGCTTTCCAACAAGCTTTTACCCACTAACTTTGCCAGCTTGTTACGGTTACTGTTACTCCTCCTATTATTTTCTACCTTTTCGCAATTTCCCGCTCGCTCTTCTCCAGTGTTGCCGCAATTCGAGAGCCAGAAAATTGCTAGATGTGCAACAAAAATGTTTCAAATTGCGGCGGAATTAGAACTCAGTTTTGAGTTCGAAAGAAGTTTTAACAACTAACTTTTTAGTAAAAAGCTTCAAGAATAAACGGATTAGACTTTTGTTGAAATATTCTAAAAGATGCGTATTCATACAAAAAGTTTCATTTATCATGTCCAAAGTATATAAATTTGCTTTGTGGTTTCCGTGCTTCTACCATTTATTAAAATACTTAAATTTAACCTCTTCTGGTTTTTACAAATTCATTCTTTGGCTATAAAGAAACCCAAAGGTGCAGCACTAACTTTTCCGCACTTATGACCCAAGTGGCTCGCACATTTAATTATACCCAAAGCCTTTTGCAATATTTATTTTACCGGAGATGCCGGGACTTAGTCATTCAGGGTCAGAGTTTTGCAAAGGTCGGGGTAAGCGTCGCTTTTTCCATGGGGACACAGACTGGCATTGAAACTTCCCTCCTCGTACAGGTTGCCCTCGAGTGGAGGGCCATCACTGTAGTAGCAAACGAGCATGAAGTGTGTGTTCCACAGATCGAAGTCCTGGCCAGCAGCACATCCCATATAGGAGCCTCGATCATTAATGATATTTCTAATTTCACTTTCCGCCTCATCGGTGGCTATATCATCCAAATCGTAGATCTCATCGAGCCATTGTTCCGCTAATATTGTAATTTCCCTAACGTTAGATTGTCGAACTAGTGGTCTTGCGTAAAAATCCTCAACGTAATTGAATTGGGGATTGTCAAAGTCATCGGTGGCCAAACAAATGTTTTCAGGAAGTTCCTCTTTACAGCGTTTTAGATGATATTCAGCAATCACCTCCAGATAGTCATCCCAAACCAATTCAGGCATTTTTTGAGCAGGTGGCAGGTCCCCAAACGAATTGCTTGCCACCTCCTGACGATATCCATTGTGCAGACCCAGTAAATATTGACGAAACAGCATCATATTAACCAGGCTATTAAAACGAAGGCAGCTGTCATCAAATACCTTGAAAAAAGTTCTTCATCAGTAACACAAATCATATGCCAGTAACACTTACCATGTTGTTTTCACATCCTATATGCTTTTTGCCACGACAGGATTTAATATCACAAAAATCTATGGCCAGAGTGGTTTCAATTAAAAAAAGAGGGGTCAAAACAAAAGCCAACCGTAGTCGTTGCATTTTTGTTGAGAACTAACAGCCACCAACTGACTTCGTTGGTGCAATTAGCGTTACGTATTCAAACAGCAGTGAAAAAGTTGTTAAACGGTGTACAAATTCAACAAAAATAGTTAACAATTTTTTACGAAACAAGCAACACAGCAAAGCAAACTTGACTGCAATGCTTAAAATGGTTAATAAAAAGTTTTTAATTTGTGAAGTGTTGAAAAACACAAAGCAGGGATATTACATTTATTATTATTATTAGTAGTATTATTATGCTATATTTCGCTGTCACCGATTTAAGCAGCTCAGTTTTTATTTGAATTTTTTTTTATTTGCCAAATTGTTTTATTAAACGGGCAGATTACATTTTGTTATCGCTCCTAAAGCAGCACCAAATTGAGTCGTTCCCATCTGAAAATGACTTTCAACTTTGTGCAGCCTTGTGCCTGCAAACTTTGCATTCTCTGGCCGCCTGACGGGCGGTAATCGATTATTTAACGTGCTGACTTTGACTGGCGACTACGGACCATGGAAATTGGCAACGAGCGCTGGCCTGGACCGGATTGGCCCGGCCGGAAAGCATGGATGAGGAGATCAGCGGAGGGGGGTGTGGCACATGTCACTGGTTGCAGGCGATGTGCTAGAAATTGGGAAAACAAACCGTTTCGGAATTTCACAACTCGTCCGAGAAGGGCTGCTGTGAACGGCGACGTTGATTAGGCGACGTAACGCAGTGATTAGCAGGGCTCGGAAATTGTTGGATTTATCGAGAGAATGGAGCATGGATTGCATAATGGACGGTATAAGCGCTAACCTGTTCCCCCACGTTTTTCCATTCGCAGTGCCCACGGCGACTATTTTGGGAGGACCCGACTTGTATGTGGACAAGGGCAGCACCATAAATCTCACTTGCATCATCAAGTTCAGCCCCGAGCCGCCGACCCATATCTTCTGGTATCATCAGGACAAGGTAAATATCTCTTGAAATCAATTTACAGCAAAAAGAAAAAATGTAACCAAAACCCTGTGGGGCAGAAGGAAGTAAAACCAATTTAAGGTTTTCCTTTTTGGTGCCAAATTATCTTGCAATAATTGAGTTTGTGCGCAGTAAAAAGCGCAAAAGTGGGGCGTGTTGTGGAGTGAGGGGCAGAGGGGGCGGGGCCACGCCCAGCCAATTGCTGCAGGATAAACGTTTTTAACTTTTATGAGCTCTGGGCTGGCGCCTTTCCATTGCGCACGTGTGTGTGTATGTGTGTGTGAGTGTGAGTTTGCTCGCGTTTGTTTACGCGTCGTATACGCAACGTATTTAATTTTGGCTTTTATGATTATGAGAAAACATGCTTTTGCATTTAGCTGAGCACTCATCAGCTTGGCTTTTCCGACGAGGGAAAATCGCTTTTAATACGACATCCACTCCCACGCTTATTTATTTTTTTTCTTCCCTTCAGGTGCTTAGCGAGGAGACTTCGGGTGGACGGCTGAAGTTCAAGACCATCAAGTCGGAGGAGACCAAATCCATTTTGCTCATTTACGATGCGGATCTCCTGCACTCTGGGAAATACTCGTGTTATCCTTCAAACACGGAGATAGCCAGCATACGCGTTCACGTCCTTCAGGGTAAGTTTTGCTCTTTTTTACGGAGCTTTTTCGGGAGCTCTCCTCTTGGGTGCTCTCCCCACTTTAAAGCCGCCTTAATTGGATGCTCGAGTTTGATAATGTGAATTATACATTCATGCATCTGCTTGACCCCGATTTGTATGCATTAAACTTGCATCTCGTTCTCGCTTTGTTGGCTAACTTTGGCGAAATTTATGAACTTGTGCCCACAACAGAAGTACACTCTGAAAAATGTCTGTGTCAAGAGGATTTTATCTGGCAAACTTCTCTAATTTAATCTAGTTTTAAAAACTTTGTGTAGCCATGAGACCATTTGTTCATCTGAGCTTAACTTCAAATTAAATTCTTGATGTCGAGTTTTTTTTAGCAATTAAAAATTTTTTTTTTGCAAGTCTATTTTTTAGAAGTTTTGAAAGGAATATCATCATTCAAAATAAAAAAAATCGACAAAAAAAATGCATATTAAACCTTTAACGCAGCTCGTTAGAAAATTGTACTACAAAACTTTTAAGGTATCTCACTATAAAATCAGAATAAAATTGGAAAAGTTATGGACTGCAAAGCGCAGAATTTGTGTCGATTTCTGGCAAACCTATTTTTAATTGATTCTGCTAAGAAAGTTTTTTACACTTGCTTATAGTTCTTCATAATAAGGTTAAGAAATATATATAATTTCTTAGAAAATATTTCGCCATTGTTAGGAAAACAAATTACTTGAGCTCTCCTTCGGAGAACCTCATTTCTGAATGTAGAATGTAGAAAGGAGAGCCTTTTTGCGAGGCAGACAAACTACAAATTGTTACCCATTCAGGGCAAATCTTGTGCCATCTCGACGCGACCCGAAGCTCACCCCCCCGTTTCCCTTTTCCATTTTCCATTTTCATTTCCCGGACAGGCGAGCGTCCCGAGGCGATGCAAACGAACGCGGCGCCGGCGGCCGTCGGCGTGGCCAGTTGGTCCTGTCAGGCGGTCAGGGTAATTAGCACAATGGTGGCGGCACTTGTATTGTTGGAGGCCTGCTCCACGCTGCTCCTGCAGGGGACAGGAGGTCCTAGCGGAGGACCCCCGCCAGCCAAGGAGCGAAGGGAGAGAGAGCCGCTTCCGAGATTCCCCGCCGGGCAGAAGGAAACCTCGACGACGTCCGAGGAGCACGTCAATAATGGCAGCCGGAATGCACGGTGATAAATTAACGTCGCCCAGTTGGAATTCCACCGCCAATGCAGCCACCCAAATGCAGCAGAAATGATTTATAGTAGAAGTTTACGGGAGCAGCAGGATGCAGGAGCATCTGAGGTCCTTCCACTCGAGCTGCATGTAATACCTTTCTGAAAAACCAACTAATTATGCTAATGATGGAAGACGCCGTGCTCCTGAGTTTCTCCTTCTCCTTCGCAAGTTGTAAGTAAGTGTGTTTCTAATTAAGTGGGCTGGGGATTAGTTAGTTAGGCGGAAATCAGAGCCATGTACATAAACTTCTCACGTAAATTGCCAGCACACTAGCGAACTTAGCTAAATGGAAAGCATTTCGAACGAATCATCAAATTAGTGAACTATATTCAAGTGGTTTGCTTATAGAGCCACGCCTAGGTGTTTAATGAAATACTAAAGTAAATAAAAAGGAAAAACGGGGTGTTTTGTAAACAGCAGAGATTCAAAAACAGTAACTGGGGTGTTTCTTAAGAACCCAAACCCAAGGTTAAATATAATTTGTTCTATAAGTGTAAGCAAAGAAATTTAATTTGTAAATAGTAAAGCACCTCAACTACTGGTTTTGAATCTCCACAGATTTCCAAAACATCCTTTACTAGAATGTTAAGAATTTACGTAGCGAAAGTTTACTCAGATCGTTGTAAATACTAATGGGATTCGTTCTTGATTTGTGTGTTGTCCTCGGATTACCCTGTATAGCCTAGAGTTTAAGCAATGTACATACTTAGAAATACGGAATAGCTAACTGTTTTGACACGAACTTCTTCGAAGGTTCCTAAACTAATTTTTGAACAAATTTACATGTCCACTTCTCTCCCCACCCACAAAACTAAAAAGAAATATAACAATCGATGGAAACTCGGGGAATGCTTGGGAAATTCCTGCCGAAAACCCGCCTCAGTTTGAAGTGCGACTTTCCGGGCTAACAATTTATTTAGAAGAATTTCTCCAAGTCATGAGGGCAGTTCCTGTGCCCATTTAACAACTGCTGGCAATGGGTTCATTGCTCTCCGAGTCCAGTGAAATTTAGAGCTCCCATTTCACCGTGTCCGGTTGCATTTCCACTTTTCCCCTCCGGAAAAAGGGGAAAGACACAACTGGCAAGTCACTTTTCACTCTTGTCAACAAAATATTTGCATTTCCATTTGCCAAGCCGGTCGAATGTGTTCAGGTTGGGTTTGTCTCGAAGGACATTGTCCGGGAAAACCGAACCGGAGTGGCGGAGTGGCGAAGTGGCGGAGCGGTGGAGCAGCGGAGGCTCCTCCATCCTGTGCCACATTTAAAAATGTATGGGACATTGGGAACCCATGGCCCGTAAACGGGGCTGAGTTTAACTGATCAAAATTGTAAATAAACCTGCATATATACCATATGAATAAACTATAAACTGTACTCAAGTATTTGTGTGGTAGTCGTACATTACATATAAACACAAACACACACAAGCACACACACATATAAGAATGCACACACTCGCGAATCGGTCATATATACATATATGTGGATTTATATACGTACATGGATGTATCGATATTAAAAATGTAAACCCAACGCATGCAAAATTAGTCGCGACATGTAAATGAATGTTTAATGGGTAAATTAATGTTGCCATAAAACGGGACAGAGTAAAAAACCATGAATATAATTGCAATTAAGCAAATAAAATAATATATGTTATAAGCATAATAAGGGGAAAAATAGCGAGTATTATGACAGAAGCCGTAAAGCAGAAAGTTTAAAGCGCAAACAAAAACAAACTCTGTTGACTTTTGTTGCAAACAAAACGAGAACGGCAGCGCATTATACAGATTATGAAATTGTTTTTAATTTTTAAGCGAGTAGAGGACAAGTAAATATGGAAATCGGAATGAAAAATTTCAATAAAGTTTTTTGGTTACTACCATCCAATGATAAATATGTATAACAAAGGCACGACTTTTCTTTGATTTTCGGGGGAATGGAAGTTTTGACTGGTGCTACCACATGCTGAGTCGAATCCTGGTAAGATTTATGCAAATATTTTCCGTTGCCATTCATGCATTTGGCCTGGGAATTTTAATGGGCCACACGCACAAGCCAACAGACAATGGAATTTTGGAGGAGACTCTCCCCACGGGAGACTGCAAGTTTCTTCGCTTTTTTCGGGATGCGGGGGCATTTTCCGTTTTTCAGCCTAATAAAGCCGCAATGCAAAAGGCAGGAAAGCTGGAAGGCAAGAAGAATAGGCATTAAGTGCCTGGCTGGCAGCTGTCCTGTCCTGCGAGTCCTGTGGATCCTGCAACTTACACTGGGCCATGTGTGGCAGGACTATGTTTGCGTTTTGGTAAGACATCAAAAGCCGTTAACATAAAAGTTTATTATATGACAAGTAAGTATGTAGCTGTTGGCCCAAAATATCATGCCAAAAAGTTTAATAGCGCACATCGCGTCAACCAAGAACCTCGGCTTTTCCCCCGATTTTCCCCCGAATCCATCGAGTGGAAAGTGTAAGGAGCGAATAAGGCGCATAAGGCTCATGAAGCGGAAAGTGTTCCTTCCTCAGCCGGAAGAGCAGTATTACCCGAGATGATGACGACGTTGATTGGAATACTTCGGTTTCGGGACCGCATCCGTGTATGCAAGATGGATGGACTGAGCGAGTCGATAAATCGGAGGATCTGCAAGGCAAGGTTTTACATTTTTTGAGGGCAAGGAAGGGAGGGTAAAATTCGATAAATGGTATGACCTGGATACATGGTTCATTAATTTGAATAATAAGTAATGACTTTAAATAATTCTTAAAGTTTTGAATGATTTCATTACCACATACCAAATTACCATATGCACAAAAAGCCACTCTTAAATGGTAAACATTTAGTAGCTACTTATAATCTTTAAGAATTGTTACCTTTATTTTAAATTTAAACCTCAAATTGCAAACCCCAAACTTGACCTCAAACGTGTTCAGCTCCCGCCTAAAAACCCGTGACCTGCGGAATGTTCCCCGAAAGCCGCCGACACGACTGTCTGATATTATTTTTAATTGCGCATTGGCCGGGTCGCAGATGTCGGCCGGAGTGCAGATGAAAGCCGGAATGCCCGGGGAATGTGGCACACAGTTGGGTCCGAGGCAAGGCAATCGACAAAAGGGAAAATAAATTATCATCATTGTGACATTTTCATTTGTCAACGTAATTTTCCGTGTGTCGCATTCCTGCGCTGCCTAAAAGGACACTACACCCAGCGCCGCAGGAGCAACATTAATGTTTTGAAAAAAGCCCGGCAATTTGGCCAGGAATTTCACTTCACTTTGACTGGCGCAAAAATAAAAATAAAAGCGACAGCGAACACGTTTACCTTTTATGTGTCGTCTCCTGTGGAGTCCTTTATATCACAACGCGTACATTTTTAATGCGAAGGTATGGTATGATTTGATTTTATTCGACTCAGCCGCACATTTGTTCCTCTGCAGCAGAAGTTGCAATTTAAATTCGCTTATTGAACATAAATCAAACGTCTAAGGCTTCAAAGGCACACAAGCATACACAGAGCCGTGTCTTTGTGTCTTTGGCAAAATCCAGTACATAATTTATTGACATGGCTATGAGTTCTGGCAGGACCAAGGTCCCCGAAAGGACTGCCGATTATTGTCCTCCAGCTGCCAAATCGAAATGTTGTACATTATTTTACTGATCCCCTCGACCATTCGGCGTGCTTGTGGCCCTGTCAAAGCGAATGCCAATGGCCAATTTAAATTGTTGCCAAGTGACGAGATAAATGCATTCCTCTTCCGATTTTCCCATTGATTTGTCACTACTAAACTTGCACTAAATTTAAGTCGGTTCAAGTTTAAAACTTTCCCCGACGGATGCAAACAATATATTTTCCCGCTCATTAGTGCTTACATACAGTGTTATTAATAAGTATAATTACTTGCACATTCCCTTAATATTCCGGGTTTAAAACACAGCAACGGAAGAAATGAAAAAACAGAAACCAAATTTGCAGCCTATATTGTTTACACATGTAATGAAATTTCTGCGGTTATTCGCAGGGGAAAAGAGCGGGTTACGTGGATCGTTTCCCTTGGCAATTATTTTGGCGCCACTTTTTCAGCCAAATTTCTCATTTTTGTGCTTTAAAAATAGCAAATTAATTATATTTCGCTCCGCACTGTCGGCGGCTACAAAAAAAAAAAAAAACATAAAGGATTCCCTGGCTCATAATTAAATTTTGCATTTGTGCGTGCGGAGTGGAAAATGGGGGATGGAAATGGGGGTGTTACACGGAAAATTCGTATGGATGTGCGGTTTTGAACTGGGAAAGTAATACGGCTTTGATTAGGAAATCGGTTTAAATGTGCTAGCGTTCGCCAACTGTTTGTTTTGTTTTATTTCGCTGCTTTTGTTCTGTCGGAATTTCGTTTCTAATTTCTCTGTGTGTTCTTGTGGTTTTTGGGTTGGGATGTTTCTGTGTGTGAGCCGTTTTTAGTCGAGAATTGCTTTTTGAATATGTGTGACATTGTTCCCGTTGTCTCCATAAATGGATAAACCGAGCTGGTCCGAATTCGTTGTTGCTCTCTGTAAACCCACTTTGGGCTGTCATTTTTGCGGTCAACACTCGCACTCCCGCAAACGAAATGGGGGGAACCCCCGTCCGAAAAGCCCTCCTAATGCAATTTGTCATTTTCAATTTTTGTTTCTCTGGCTCTCCGGCTCCTCTGGCTTTTGTCTCAAATGGAATTTTTGGCATTTCGTTCACATAAATTAGGCCCGGGCGTCTGTGCCGCCTTCTTCCCTTGTTTATTCTTGCTGTTCTGCACTCAAATTGCTGTGTAAATAATTATTTTTCCCATTTTGCTTGGATGCAAATTGTTTACTCTTCGCATATTTCTCCATCTCGTTTGCAGTTGGCAATTTCATTTGGAGCTGTGACTGCAAATTACAGGGAATTCTCTCTTGTCATCACGGCCACACGAACGCTGTCAAAATCGTTAATCCATATGGCCATCTGATCTGGGCTCTGCCGCAAGATAACTCGATTTTGGTGGCAACTGTCATTCTTGGTCAACTTCAGTTGGCTCAAATGCAATTACCCATCTGCACTAAGTGCGTGCGTGTGTGTGAGTGCCCCATTATAATTGGAGGGGTCGTAGGGTTGGCAAATCAGTTTAATCTCATCTTAAAAATCATATGAATCTGTACCAAAGCGAAACAATTCAAAGTAAGGAGTATCAAGTAATTAAAAAAAACCCATTATATTAACTAAAACTTAAATTGGTTTTTTAAAACAATTTTCAATATTTAATATTCAATTTTGGGTGAAAGCAAAATTGTTGTATTCACGAAATACTTACTTAGGGATTACTTATTAAATAAAACCTCAATAAAATACAGCCCGCACTTTTTATTTTAAATCACAATCAGTTGAATTCATCGATTCGATCCTGAATCTGCTTATTCCGTCATTATCCCCCCGCCGTAGTTCGAGTTATGAGCTGTCAGGCTGGATGAAAAACTCGCCGTCCTTGGTGTGCATTTAATGCCATTTAAGCCGGACCCTTTTCCGGGCGGACAGTGTCCAATTGCTGGGCACTTAACTGAAATACAATTTTTATGGCCTCGCAGAGGACTGGTGAAGGGTGAAGGGGGAGGGGGAGGGAATCGTGGGCGGCGAAGGCGATGGCCTCACTCCTTCTGTCACTTTTATTGCATACTTTTGCGCGTCGCCGGGCGCTCGAGTTGCGACTTTTTCGCACATCCTTGTGACTGCATAATTTTGCTATACGGCACACGCCGGCATATTCTCATCCTCCGCTTGTATTTTGCATGATTTACTCTGATTTCAGCTCGTCGTCGTCGTTGCCGGCGCTGCTCTTCATTCCGACCGCTTTTGTAGTTTTATCACACACTTGACCCATAAATCAAACATGTGTAAATGTTTTCACTTTATATGCGCACTCATACAGCCACATCAAATACTTTGGCCGGCGCTCCCTCCATCCATCTATCTATCTATCTCTATCTATTTTTTCCGGCGAACGGATAGAGTGGAGCAAGGTCCTTCGTCCTGGGCGCTCGTCCTCCGATTCGTGCGTGTAAACGAAGTAGAAAAGCGTGTAAAATATGCCGCAAATAGCTGGCTTCTTGTTATTCCCAATCCTGCCTGATATACATATATATATAGTATATATATTTGTGTATATGTCCCTCGTTTCTCCTGATGTTCTGTCCCCAGAGTTTGGCGTCAATCCCTTTTGATGGGCCACTGACATTTTCGGCGGCTTGTCATTCCGTTTTTGTGCGAATTTTTATTGGCTTAGTCGGCATAAAGTGGAATGAGTCTCGGGCATACATTTACGGCTTTAATACATCACCGAAAAAATGCCTCTGAATCAGGCAAAACGAGCCGCTAATTGTGTCAAAAAAAAAAAAATGAAATCAAATATATTTTCATATAATTTCATTTCAGCTGACAGCCTTTGGGGGCCAAACTCAATTTGTTGCAATTTAAATTTGAACTCTTCGCAATCGCCGCTAATGACGATGTTGGTGGTGTGATTTCATGAATTGAATTTGTCGCTTAACTCAATTAAATTTGCGTGGTTAGGTGTGAAATGTGCTTGGGTCAAAGTGTAGGTGTATGTTTGCGTACAAACAAATTGTTTGCCACATCCTCACTTATGCATAGCATAAATTCTGGCTGAGAAATGGCCGCAATTTGTTGGCCGGCGTGTTTAGCAGCAGCTGCAACTTTGTGGCCCAGGAAGTTGACCCTGAATCCGAGTCCAGCCTGGCCAGGAATCCATTCGCCCAGGGACGACATCCTGCCACCCGAACGACAACCATCTGCAACATCACGTTTGTGTCATAGTCATTATAACGCCACTCAGGCGGCGGCATGGCCACTAAAAGTTATATG